AAGGCAGAGGGAACCGCAGGTGCCAAGGCCCTGAGACGGGAATGAGCAAGACTTGGAGGAACAGTGGGGAGGTTGTCCTGCTGGGGTGGAGGGTGAGGGCTAGAAGGAGGAAGAACAGGGCCTCCAGGGGGCGGGCTGGAGAAAGAGGGCCCGCAGGGCCGCTCACACAGTGCCTGGTTCACTGTAAGCCCCAGGAGGCTCTTTGCACTCTCGTTGTGGGTTGGGAAGCCCGTGGCAGTGCCCGGGGGTCTTTGTGGCTCCCGTGGCCAGTGCTGGCCACACTCTGTGTGATGGGGTGGGAATCTTGCCGTCCCCTGCCCTGGGCTCATCGTTGACCCGTGCCCGCCTCTTTCTCCCTCCAGTGCACTGTCCAGGTCAAGTTAGAGCTGGGACACCGTGCCCAACTGCGCAAGAAGCCCACAACGGAGGGGTTCACCCACGATTGGATGGTGTTTGTCCGTGGCCCCGAGCAATGTGAAATCCAGCACTTCGTGGAGAAAGTGGTCTTCCGGCTGCATGACAGCTTCCCCAAGCCCAAGCGCGGTGAGTGCCTCCAGCCTGGCTGGGCAGCCCTGCGGGGCTCAGGGCTGTGCCGCCGCCCATGTGTCATCGCTCCTTGGAGGGCTTGTCTCCATCCTCTCCCCAGGAGCAACAGGGCCCACACTCTGGGAGCTTCTGGCTTGCCCCCCTCGCTGTGTCGGAGAGAAGGTGCCCAGCAAAGATGTGGCCCTTCTCCGACCTTAAAATGGTCCTCCTCCCTCCTGCCTGCCTTTCCTTCAGTTGATGAATTCATTGTAGAGAAAAGCCAAAGGAGGTGGTGACTGTGTCTTGTGTCATTATTTAGACTCGGTCTCTGAGAAGCATCCAGAGAACGTAGCCGAAGGCCAGTGGGTGGGAAGGGCGACTTACACCCACCTGGTGAGTAATCAGGAAATTGCTTATTGGGCCTACAGTTGATGAGAGATGCCATTTTAAGGATTTCATGATATTTGGGGCAAAAATCTCATTTTGCTGCTGTCTTATGTGTCTTTCTTCTCTGCTTCACCCCTTCACACTCAGACTGCCGTTTCTTGGGCAGAAGGAAGCGCCTCATTCATGCATTCTGCACAGATCTTGATTATCTGTGGCCCTGTAGTCTACACTCCTGGGGAATTTGGAATGGAGTTGTTGGCTGTCTTGTCAGCTCCGTGGGGGCCGGGGCCGTGTCTGCTCTCACTGTGGAGCCCCCTGGGTGAGGTGTGGTACATCACAGGGGTCCAGCACATGGTTTCTTGAATGGATGTGTTGACAGAGGAGAGAAGGACCTCTTGCTGGAAGAATAGTTCAGCGTGGTGAGAGCCACTGCTTAGCCCTCCGTCCCAAGTGCCAGGGGCCGTGGGGCCAAGCCATAAGCAGGCATGGACGGCCTCAGGCCGAAGCAGGAGCACATTGTAGGATCCCCTGGGGTCCTGGACCTGTGCCGGCAAGTGACTTGTGGTCTGTTGGGGAAGCGATGTATGTTACACATGTAGAAGGTTCTGGTTCACAAGGGAAGGCAGCTGGAGAGTCCTAGTGGTGTGGTAGCCATTTTTTTTTCTTCTGGTTTCTTCTGTTGGCTCTCATTTATTCCCTTCCCTCATTTCTGCTTTCCTGGGTCCTCACCTTGTCTCCTTTTCCTTCTTTCTGAGCATCCTGGAGGAGAGTGGATCTGGTTCCTGCAACAGCAGCTGTCTATAAAGCATCTTCAGTAATAATAAACCATGGTGTTTCCTGGGCACTTTCTGCTAAGCTCTTTTCCTGTGCGGGGTCTCTGTTCAGTCTCCCCACAACCCCCTTACAGATGGGGGGCAGGTGCAAGCGGGCCGGCTACACAGCCTGTGCTTTAAAGCAGGGTCTGCACACGGGCCCAGGGGCTGGGTCAGTGCCGCAGCGTGTTACCGGCGGCCGGTACGCCCATTCGCTCAGGTTGTGCCTGTGCCGGCAGCAGAGTGCCGTCTGCGGCTGCCAGCCTTCTGGCCTGGGCCCTCCGTGCTTCCTTGGGCTGCCTCCTCTCCAGTTCTCCTTCACCATTGCCCTCCCCTCTCTTCTCCCTTTCTCTCTGGGGTGGCCCCAGGGTGCCGTCCATCCACCTGTAAGCTGCGTGTTTCATCTCTGTCCCCACCAGGCCAGTAAGCAAGCAGCCACCAGGAGTAATGTTAATGGCAGTCTGTGTTTATCATGCCCTTGCTCTGTGCCATGGGCCACGACAGCCCGGCGACGTGGGACCTCCCAGAATCCCTGCAAGGTAGATGTGTCCACTGAGGTTCAGAGAGGCCCAGTGGGCTGCTGTGGTCACATGGAAGTGGCACAGCCTCTGAGCTCCAGGAACTTGGGAAGGGGGGGGGTGATGAGTGGGGTGCGCCCTCTGAGCGCATCAAGGGAATAGGTGTAATCGGTAGCTGAATCGTGCTGGTTGCGAAGTCTGCCTGTGAGTGCGGACGGACGGATGCCCACACACAGCGGCTGCATCAAATGTATCAGATGATAAACGCCCAGTTCCCTGTGTGTTGTGTGGACAGAACTCACCTTGCCAGTTGTCAGCGCAACGTGGATCAGGTTAAAGAGAATTTGGGGCAGGGCTGTCTGAAATTACACTTGATGGGCTTTAAAAGTATTTTTTAAATCGAATATGTGCTCATAACAAACCCAACAGAGGTGTGCAGGGCGCGGAGTTCCCCTTACTGTCCCACACCTGTCACCCCTCCCGGGGGCACTCTGGCCCTTCCTGGGTTTGTCCTTCCCTCGCATCTTAGAGTAGTAGTGTTGAATTTGCTACTTGCTTCTTGATCTTCCACACTGAAGCCCTGTCTTTGACTTACCAGCTCTATCCCAAACTCCCGCCCTTCCTCCAGCGTCTCCTCCAATGTTGTGCGGGTAAGTGACCATCTTTTCAGTGGTCATCTCTGTGAGTCTTGTGACCTTGAGTGAGGAGCCCAACCTGCTCACCATTTGCATCCTCCGCAGAGGCTGCAGTCACCGTTTTGGAAAGAGCTCTGGCTGCTGGGCCGAACTCATGGTTTCTTTCTTTAACCACCCACACGGCCACACGCTTCTTAGCCTTTTTCTGTTTTCTCCCCTCTTTAGCCACCTTAACGTAGAGTACATATCACTTGTATTTTCCACCTTCCCTCCTCCCCCAAGGCAGAGGTTTGTGTTTTGCTTTAGTTTGCTGCCGTGACCCTGGTTGCTGAAAGGTATCGTAGGCGCTTACTATTTACTGAGTGAGCGAATGGGTTCTTCAGCCCTGTCAGCTTTTGTCAGTGCTTTCTGACCCTCCATCTGGGAAGAGAAACACGTGAGCATCCCTGTCTTCCCTTGAACCTTATACCCCTCCTTTTGGGAGCCACACTTGACCTTGTTAAGGCTGTTGAACTGAAACGGGCACTTCTGCTCCCAGATTAGGGGTTAATTCTAGACGCTGGAAACCACACACCGTCGTGACTTTATTGAGTCTGTTCACTGCTAGGCTGGTCGGGTTGCCAGGATGCCACTCATCCGCTGAGCCCTGGGCCACTCCAAGGAGACCACTCAAGGTCATGTCAAGGTCAGATGAGTTCTTTTTATCATTCTTAGTGAAAACATAGCCCTGTTTACTTTGCCTCATGTTTGGGCTGTAACTTCGTGAAAAATTTGCTTCTCCCTTTTTTCCCCTTGCCTTGTGTCTTCATCAGAAGAGCCGCATTTTTTTCATATTCTGTCCATCACTTCCTTTATCTGGTGGCGTTTCTTCCCCCTCCTGGATATTCCGATCTGGTTCTCTTTGTCTTCCTTCTTTAATGAGGACTGGCAGCTCTCAAGGCCACCTCTGTAGCTATTACCCCGGGATTTTACTCTTCTCTTCCAGGGATTTATTTATTATCTGGTGTTTTGCCTTGTTTTACTGGAGTAATTTCTAATGAGTAATGTCCTAAGAGACTAATTACTTAAACAGTTTCTAAAGAAAGGTGTGTGGGAAATAAACTCTGACTCCTGGGATATTCGAAAGTGCTAGCTGTTCTGTTCTCATACATGACTGATAGTTTGGTTGGGTATAATATTTTAATTTGAGAATCACTATCACTTAGAGCTTTTAAAGTACTGCTTCTTTGTCTTCTGAGGAGTCTGTTGCTGTCAGGGTCTCATGCTATTGCAGAGGACCTGTTTTGTTTGTTTGCTTTTCTCTAGAAACATTTAGAATATTTTTTATAGCATTATTTCTAGGCTCTTCTTGTTGTTCTTAGCGTTGGATGTTTGGTGTTCTTCATTTTTAGCTCAGAAAAGTTTTCTTCTACTTCTTTGACAATGTCTATTTTCTCTTTCTTCTTCCTGGGATGCTTCTTTACCTAACTTCTCTATGCTCAAATATTTTCCTGTGTAAAACAGAAACAATTGTATTTGTGTCACAAGGTTGTCTTAAGGATTAAATGAGCTAATATGTATAGAATAGTGCTAAGAATAGTGCCTGGCACACAGTAGGTACTTTATAAATATCAGTTGCTATTAGTGTTTGTTTAATCTGAATTGTTTTCTTACATCTCACCCTTTAAAAATGTGTCTTTTTGTTCTACAGTCTCAACTTTGTCTTTCCATTGAATTATAAAATTGTAAGTGGTATATTTGTAACATCTAAGAGCCCTTTCCTACTCTCTAATTGTCCCTTTTTAGATGTCTTGTTTTTATTTGTTGGGCATATCTGGGATCTAAGGACGTTGGCTCTAGTTTGTTGGTTTAAATTTTTTTTTTAATTTTCCCCAAGTTCTCCTGTAGTCTCCAAATTTTTCCTGTTTCTTTGGGCTCTTCGCTGCAGGTGGATGGGAACTGTTATTGACAGCTCTTTGTAAGTCAGGGTGGGTTCTGTTGACCAGCAGGCTTCTGGTTAGGGAGTGGCCCCCCCAGTTTCAAAATGAGGTCATTAGAAGGAAGTGATCCATGATGTGAGAGGGTCACTGTGGCTGGGTCTTAGGGGACCTGAGGCCAGGCTGACGAGAGGTGAGGCTGGAGGTGACAAAACACCTTGCAGCCCCGTGGAGGGGCTTGAAGTTGGTCCTGAGGGCAGTGGGGTGCCATCAGGGGACCCGGTCCGGTTCACACTTCAGAATGATCATTACAGCTGCCTGTGCAGAAGATCCTGGGAGTGAGCCCGAGGCAGAACGGCTAGTGCGCTGGTGGTAACCCATGTGAGAGAGGCAGGGTGCCTGGGCAGGAGCAGTGGTACAGGACGCTGGGGCGGTGGGGTACATTCTAGAGTGTTTTGGAGGCAGACATGATAGCACTTGGGTGACCTTGGGAGAGGGAGGAGTCGGGCTGACCATGCGGCCTTGGGTGAGTGGTGGGCAGCTCGCGTCCTGAGCGTGGATGCTGGGCGATACAGGTTTAAGGGGGAGGTAAAGAGGTGTCTTGGGGTCGGCTACACCTGAGCTTCCCATCCAGCACCTACAGGAGGATATCCGAGGAGCAGAAGGAGACTGGCTGGAATGGAGATTTGTTGCTGAGCTCACCCGTGACAGTGTCCCAGGCTACCAGGGTCACCGCCTGTTTCCTGGGGGCAGGGCTGCTCCATACTTCTAGGTGGGCTAACTGTCAGACAGAGGGTGGTGACACCCAGAGTAACCCGCGACGGACCAGAGACGTTCTCATGGCCTCTGTCATCATCCCAGCACCTGACGGTGCCCGACGTAAATGGTGTAGAGTAACGAATGAATGCAGTCACTGCTGTGTTTGGTGGCAGTGATGATTCAGGTGTAGACCCTGGTGTCAGTGACGGTGTTCAGGGTGCAGGGTTCAGAGGCAGCCAGGGCTACTGCTGGCCTCCAGGAGGCTGTGCTGTGTGCTGTGGCATGTCCTGGGACTGTTCAGGGAGCCCCCTTCCCCGACACCACTGGGGAGGCCAGTCCAGTTGAGTAAGCCTCGTTTACCAGCTATGTGCTTTTCCTACGGCGGGGAGTGGGGACTGGCACCCAGAGTGCTGAGTGAGCCCACCGCTGGGGAGACGGTAGCCGGCCTCATAGGGAGGGTGGGATGGGGTGGAGGGAGCCAAGTCCAGCTCTTACCCCTCAGCTGTCCTTGTAGCTCCGGACTGCTCTCTGTGAGGCCTGAGCCACGAACCCCTCCCCTGCTTCCCTGTGGTTTGCAACCCGGGGTCCCATGCAAGGCTGCCCTGCCTATGATGGCCTCTGCCTGTTCCAAATCTACCCCATTGGCCAGTTTTTGGGTTAGGGGAGACTCATGAAATATTTGAGATCTGATATTTGATGATTTGAGAGCTTAAAAGATTTTTTTAAGAGAAAAATCTTACAATGTTTTCATTTTAAAAAGCCCGCTTTCATTTTTTTCCATGCACTGTTTTTTCCAGCAATTTCTGGCCCACTTAAGAATTACCTGACTGGGGCAGAGGTGTGCATAATTGTTTCTCACGATTGAGGGGATGTTTTCCTGCCTTCCAATAGTGATTGCCTCTGGAGAGGGAGGGGTGGAGGACCAGGAGATTTGACCTGTACTGTGCTGGTTTTTCTTAAAAGCGGGAGAACGGTATTTTCATGACAGCATGTATGTCAAAACATTGAGGTTTGTTCCGGAGGGTAAGATTGCTGGAGGTCATTTTGCTTGTACTTTGTTTCAGCTTTCTTTTTTCTTCGTTAGCCTCTGAGGTTAACGAATCTCTGTCCAGTCACTTGGGAATGCCTTTGTTCAGCACTAAAATAGAACCCAGGAGAGTCCCAGCTTAGACCCACCATCACCGTCTCCCATCTCCCCGCGCCTGTGCGCTGGCGCCCAGCTGGGCCTCGGTTCATGGGTGTGAGGGAGCAGTGGAAGGTGGTGGACACCGCCCTGCCTGGGATGCTGGGGCCCCACGGGGTTGGCACCTCACCCACGTTACGCTCACTGCCCTGATTCGGTTGGACTTGAGCGGCCTGTGGCCGGCAGTGGCTCCCCTGTCCCAGCTGGTGTCGCGCCCCTTCCCGTGCCCCTCTGCTGCTCTACTTCCGCGATGGGGTCACCTTTCTCCCGCTCTGCTCCTCCTGTGCCCTGTGATGCTTCGAATTCCATGGGATTTGACACTCCCGGGGGAGCTGGCCTCCCGGAAAGCCCCGCAGTCCCGTGAGGCCAGCTGAGCCCCGGAGGGGAGGTGTGGAGGGGCTGCGTGCTTACCGCCGCCTGCGGCCGGGCTTTTGGATGTGCAGGAAGCTGATGATGCGTTTCCCTTTCTTTTTAGTGTGCAAGGAGCCCCCTTACAAAGTGGAGGAGTCGGGTTACGCTGGCTTCATCATGCCCATCGAGGTGTACTTCAAAAACAAGGTAGGATCCGGGGACGGCATTGAGAAGGACACACAGTTCACCAAAGAGGAGGTGGAGCCGGTGACGCACGCGCGGCGGGGTGTTGGAAGCCCTGGGAGCGGACGCCCGAGTCAGAGCGCTGGCACGTCCATCTCGCGTGGGAGGCGGGGGCTGGGGGCGCAGGTGCACGTGGCCTTCTTGGGGAGCAGCCAGGCCACGTCCCGTTCAGCTGCCCTGAAGGTGCGTGCGGCCCCCGAGTCGGCAGTGACATGCCGTGACGGGGCCAGAGTTCGTGCGTGGTCTTGGAGGGTCGGTAACTGGGCCGTGAGGAGGGGCCGGCATGCGAAGTCACCTGACTGTCCGACGGTAGGCGACTGGGCGGATGTGCTTTCGGTGCCTCTTAGCGGAAGCTTCAGTGACCTGCTGGGATGAGGAAGGTGTTGAATATTGTTGGGTGAAAAAAGCAACTTTATGTGTGGTATTTCTAGACAAAAGGAATGAAGTTGAGCAGAAGTGTTGAAAATGGTGTTCTGGGTGGAAGGACTGTAAAGGGTTGTCATTTTCTTTCCCTCCATATGTATTTTCTAGACACTATGGGTGTATGTATTTTTATAGTTTTATTGCGTTTGTGCTGCTGTAAGTAAATACCACAGCCTGGATGGCTCATAAACAACAGAAATTTACCGTTGACAGTTCTGGAGGCTGGGAGTCCAAGATCACGGAGGCCACTCGGTCAGGGGGGGCCTTCTCCTGGGTCCCAGACTTCTCGCCATGTCCTCATGTGGATGGCACAAGGGGTCCGTGGGGTCTCCTTTATGAGAACACTCATCCCATTCGTGAGGGTGGGTCCCACCTCCTCAGTCTGTCACCTTTGGGGCTTAGGACTCGACGTAGGAGTTTTGGGGAGACACATTCAGATCATAGCTTTTTTATTTATTTATTTTTTTTGAGCCCAGTAATTAAAAAGAGACTTCCTGGCAGCCTGCCTCTGCTCCTCACAGGCGCCACCAAGAGGCCATGGTGAGCTTTAGCTAGACTGGCTGCTGGCAGCTCTGCCTTCCTTCAGGAAGGAGATCTCCCTGGGAAGCCACCACTTGCTTAGTGGGCCCCTTGCTTGTACCTGGCTGTTCTGCAATCCACCAGGCATCAAGGACTCTGGGAACGGTGCTCAGGTGTGCTGGCCCGCCGGGAGCCAAGTGCCATTTCAGCGGGCGTGACTCGGTGGGACTGGGCTGCGGGCCCTCCTGGGCCCCGGTCATAGTAGCCTGGGTCGTCCTGAGGCTTTCAGGGAATCAAGACCCGAGAGGCCTGGTGACCGGCCACTCTAGAGAGAAGAGGCCAGCCTGTCTGCATGGGCAGAGGCTCCGTGTCTGTTCAGCAGGGGCTGAGGCAGGGGATAGGGGCGCGATGCCGCCCGGCTCTGGCTGGGCCGTGCAGCAAGCCGCAGGGCGGTCTTCCGACGTCGTGCGTCGGGAGGCCTCTCACTGCTCCGGGAGTGTGGAGAAGGGGGAGGGACTGATGCCAGGGTGAGTCTCTGGGCAGGTGTCGCTGGCCTCTCAGCTCCCTGGGGGAAGCCTGTGTGTAGGGGATGATGATAGGCGCCCGCTGACTGGCTGGGGAGACTGCGTCCATCTGCAGAAAGCTCTTGGCATTTGTGCACACTGGTTATTCTGCAGGGTGGGTGGTATGGGAGCCCCGTGGCCAGTTAAATCTCTGGGTTGCGCGGATTAGTTCCTTTGAGGTTCAGAAGCAGTCTGGGGTCCCACAGTCCAGCAAGGCTTTTGTGTTCCCCGAAACTGACCTGTCTGCTGTCTGGTCCCTGACACGCACACCCTCCCCTCCTTACTGGGAGCTGTGTTTGCAGCCACCTGGACCCTGGTGGTGCCCGCTCAGCCTGCCAGTGCCCCCCAAGGTTCTGCCAGGAGGCTGGGGCTTGGCCCGGGAGAGGGGGTCCCACCCAGAGGCTGTACGTTGCTGTGTCAGTGGCACTGGCTCGCAGAGCTCTCTCCCCTGGCCCGGGGACCCTTGCTGCTCTCCAGGTTTTCTTGGCGAGAGACAAACGTTGGCGAGAGACAGGGGTGCGTGGTGCTTGTGCCTCAGCTGGCACTTCTCCTGCGGTGGCTTTTGCCGCCTCTGTTAGCGCCCGTCGCTGCCCCAGGCCTCTCCTGCCGGGTGCGGGACGCTGCTCAGTGCCCACGCAGCCCCAGAGAAGGTTAGGCAGCTGGGAGGGGCCGCGGGGGCCATCCAGATCTGTTCCAGCTTCTTGGCCAGCCGAGTGGAGCCTTCCCCAGTGGCTCGCCCCCTGGAGGAGGGGTGGTTGCTCAGCATTTGTGACCCCAGCCCTCGCTGTCTCCCCCACCGGGCTCTCGGCTGCTTCCTGCCCTCGCTGGGAGCTGCGCTAGCCCACGGGCCCACGCAAGGACTGCTCCCCTGGGGCTGCCAATTACTGCGGGACCCAGAAGCACTTTGTTTTCTTCAGCTTCACTGAGGTATAACTGACGAATGAAATTGTAAGACATTTGAGTGCACCACGTGATGATTTGGCATCCGCACAGTTGTGAGAAGATTTTCCCCGTTGACTTAACACATTCGTCACCTTACATGCCCTGTTTTTTTTGGAGTGAGAACTTTTAAGTTCTACTCTTAGCAAATTTGAGCTAATGCTGGCGTTGTCAGCCTTCATCACCGCATCACACCCAGGTCCCCGGACCCTGTTCATCTTACAATTGAACGTCTGTACCCTTTGATCGACCATCTCCCCACTCCCCACCCCCAGCCCCTGATAACTACTTTCTACTCTGTTTCTATGATTTCCTTGCCTTTTCAGGTTCCGCCTATAAGCGATACCATGTGGGATTTGTCTTTCTCTGTCTGGTTTATTTCACTTCACATACTCTCTCCAGGTTCATCCGTGAAGGATTTCCTTCTTCTTTAAACCCAAATAACATTCCTCTGTGTGTGTATGTGTATCCACGTGCGCGCGCACACCCTGTGTTTTCTTGACCCATTCACCCATCGACAGACACTTGGGTTGTTTCTCTCAGAAGCATTTTTTTTTTCTGGTTTTGAGGCTGCAGTCAGACCCCTTTGTCTCCCTCGAGACCATTGAGGACTCTGACGCCCAGAGAGGGTGTCTTCTGTTCCAGCTTGCACAGGAGGTTGGTGCAGAGCCAAGATGACCCAGTGTTTTCTCCCCTCTGGCACATCCACCACTTGGGATTGCGTGAAGTTCACTGCAGAACGGCAGGAGATCATTTAAGAACACTTGTCCCAGAGAAGAGCCACGTCTGTCCCTTCTGACGTTTTGGTCTGTGTAAGGACTGCATTCCAGAGAGTCCCTCCAGGCCGAGTGGTCACCCTGCGTTTGTGGAATGTCAGACCACATATGGGAGGGCAGCTAGGGAGGAGGGAGGATCAAGTGCCTGGCCTTTGCAGTGCCCTGGCTCAGCAGGTGGCTTTGTGGGGCTGGCTGCATGTCTGGGGGTGTTGGGGCAGGGCAGAGCAGGGTTGGTGCTTTTATTCAGCCCTGCTTCTCAGCCTCATGCGGCGCAGTGGGGGAGACCTAGGCCAGCCCCAAGCCGAAGCCCCAGGTGCTCCGAAACCCAGACTGAGCAGGTGCGACCTGCCCACCCGCATAGGGGCCACAGAGAGGTCCGCCCTGTGGGTCACTGCCTCTCCCGTATCTCGTGGTACACGAGCCTTGAGCTCATGTATCTCAAGTGAGCCTTGCGTCCAGACTTCCTGGACTGGGTTCCCCGAGGTATTCCCGGTGACCCTGTGGCCATAGGACTTGTCCCTCCCGGGCCCAGCACCCTCGGCTACACTGGGGCATTGAGGAATCAGAGAGGGCCTCTCTGAGGGTGTCCTGCATCCCCGCGTGCTCTTTCGGGATCCCTAGGCTTTCTTATTTGGGGTGAGCGGGTGTGTGTGTGCGCGTGCTCCCGTGTGTCTTACAAGGGCGGGGTGGGACCCCGGCTCCTGGAGCTTCTATTCCCAGTTCCTTTGCCCCGCCCTGCATGTCGCCACGTCCCCAGATGCCCCTTTAGAGGGCGCACATTTGCAGCTCACTGCCCCTGGGCCTCCAGCAAGCCAGGGCAGCCTCTGGTTTCAGGTTAAGAGTTTTTGTTCGAGTCCAGTTCCTTGAGGTATGATTTACTGTAAGTATGATTCTCTCATTATAGGTATAGTAGGTTTTTCAAGTTTGGGCTCGTGTTTTCCTTTGAACTCTGTTTTTGTGCGGCTAGTTTTTTCTGTTAAAAAAAAAAAAAAAGAAAGGAAGGTCCTGTTCCTAGGGGTTCCTCGTCTGACCAATTCCTGCAGAGGCTTGTGTGCCCGGGGCAGAAGGGCCGCTGTGAGCCTGTTAGCAGAAGTGCAGCTTGTTCTGCTCAGGACGGATGCTGGTCTCCTCTGTTCCTGGAGGAGGTTTTGTCCCCAGAGCTCTAGAGGGCAGCCCTGCACTGAGAAAACCCAGGAATCGAGGCCCACTGTGGGAGGGGCCTGGGGACAAGCCCAGTTACAGGTCCCCTGAGGTGTGCGCCCTGGGCCAGGTGTTCTGCACAGCAGGTACTTACTGAGTCTCCAGATGAGTCACGGAGGAAGGTCATCGCCACCCCAGTCTCTGGATGAAGGGGCTCCTGGGTACCCAGTCGTGTGGTGAAGGCCACGCGGTAATTGGCAGAGCTGGGATTGAGCCAGCAAGCCTGTGATCATGGATGTACACGTGTTGCATAAATACCCAAGACAGGCATGACCTAGAATGTCCACTGTTCACAAATCCCGCTGGTTGCTCACATCTGTGCGACGGGGACAGGGTTTTATGTATTGTGTTTCTGCAGATATCCGAACATAGGTCTCTGCTTTAGTAGCTTTGTGAAGATCAGACGGTTATGGGAAAGGTTCGGAGTACTGGTTGAAGCAGGGTGGTTGTGAGCGGGTGTCCTGATGGCTTTTCCGCCCTGAGGTAGGCAAGGGTTGTGTTTGGTTCCTCCTCAGCTGTAGGTGTGGTGAGTTGATCTTTGAGA